CACGGTAGGACCCGGCCCAGCCCGGTGTGGCTCGCTAGTCCGGCTTTGCACCAGAGCAGGTCATGTGGCTCCAGGAGCCATGCAGCCTGCTCTAATGCAAAGCCAGACTAGTGAGCCGCACCGGGCTGGGCTGGGCCCTACTGTGCTCCGCCAGCTTCACCACAGCTGCTCCGGCCCCCCCCCCACAGCGCCACATGGGCTACTATGTCCCCAGCCCTGCACACCTGGGGACATACCCCCTTGACAACTCCTTCCACTCCTCATAGCCCCCAACAGCCCCTGACATTCCCCCCAGCACTCCTCACACCCACTCACTACCACCCACACCCATAACCCCCACCCCATGTCCATAACTTACTTTTGACAGTGCTGGGGGCAGCAGAAGCACCACGGAGACGCTCTGGCCAGAAATCAGATAGTCTGCCCTCCAGGAGGGACTCCCTGCTGGCTCCAGGCACAGTCTGGGACCATGCCTTGCCCCACTGTCCTGCGGAGCAGTTTTTTTGGACTGCTGGATATGTCTGATTTTGTCCCCATGCTGCAAACTTGCAGCGCAGGGAATGTTTTATCATTCCCACGTGTGCCTCTTGACGTATCTCAAAGGGGTTTGAGATGGGGCAAGAGGCACGTGCATACTCGTCTGGACATGCCCCCCTGTGGTCTTTTTAAGCTCTTCGCAACCGAATTGTTCTATTATTTTTCTATGGTCAAAAATGAGTGAAAATTTAAGAGCTGACATATTTTTGAGGGGTGCGTCAAGTTTGAAAAGTTAGAGGATGACTGTCTTAAGGAACGAATGAACAGTATTCCTTTTTCACTCTCGCTGAGGATCATGTTCACAGTATTTTGGTTAAGTAGTATGGATCCTATAAAAAAAAAATACTCTAAACACCATGAATTTTTCCATCATGAATTATTATTTAGGTACATCTGTATAGTAGGAAGAATTAATCAGCACATACATATCTGAATGATGCAAGTTTCAACTAACTTGTCAGTTGTACTCAAGTGTTGAAACGCATGTTGTTGCATGGTACAGCAAGAGTTGATTTTTTTTTTTTTTTAGATTCCTGAAACATGAAAGCAAAGCAGGGTAGGTTGGCGGTAGTACAGTGGAACGAAGAATTTCATTACGTTGAATTCATGTATTGTAAGTTTGTTAGAAACTTAATATTGCTTGAACACATTTTTGACTGTGGGGAGAAAATGTGTTAAAGCTGCTTGACTGTTTTTCAACTGTATTTAACTGCCTCCTCATATTAAATATAGAATTTGACTCACTGGATTCTTTAAATAACGAAAGCTAACATAATTTGGCCTCTGTTAGTAGTCCTAAATTAGATGGCCAGCTAGATTTTAACTGGCCTTGAGCTCACGTTATGAAGCTTGTAGTAATTTCAGATCATGACTTACACCAAATAAAAATAAGGCAGCTCATTGAATTCACAAGGAGTATAATTTTTTTGTGAGACAACCTGAGGGAGAAGGGGGTTATGGAATATGTTAAAAACAGTAGGAGAGAGAAGAAGAGAGATTCACAATAGGGGTTCTGTGAGAATTTGTAGTTATGTCAGGGAATTTAAAAAATGATGAATTAGTCACTCTCAGGTACTTGACTTCACTGCTATTCACATTAATTCTGTTTTAGAAAGAGAGAATGTACTTATAAAGATGATTCTTACCTTTTGTGTTCCATTTTTTTTATCAGTAAATCTTTTTTTAATTTAGAATTGAAAAATAGCAGGGTCAATACACCACCTTTCAATTACCAATGTTGAGGGTCATGTTTATAGAGGTAGTCACAGGGTATCAGAGCTAGTAATGTTTATATTAAAAAGTGCAGAGAGAGAGAGAGAGAGTGAGAGAGAGAGAGAGAGAGAGAGAGAGAGAGAGAGTGTGTGTGTGTGTGTGTGTGTGTGTGTGTGTGTGTGTAACCTCAAAATATTGGTACCTACAAATTGCAATATTATAAAATAATGAAAACAAAATCATAGCTGTTGAAATAAATGCACATAGTGTATTTTTGCTGCATTATTATTGCTTTTGCCTGTTGTTCATTTAGGGCATTAACCCCATAGGATGAGGGTCAGCAACATACGACCCATGGGTCAGATCTGGCCCACAGCCACTGGATCCAGACTGTAGAGCCTGAGGACTTTGCATGCGTCTATGCCGAGGCTCAACAGTGAGGAGGTGCCCTGGTACCAGGCATCTTCTAGCTGTGCCCTCCCCTCCCCTTGGTTTGGGAACAAATGCAGCTTCCAGCCAATAGGGAGCTGGGCTGGGTCTAGACAGCTGTGTTCATACTGTTGCAGCTTTCTCTCTCCCTTCCCACATCTGCCTCTAAGCTGCAGTTCAGCTGCGTGGCCCAGAGTGGATGCAGAAAAAGCCACCTAACCTGCTTTCAGGTATTCTTGCCTGCAGCTTGAGATGGTTGCCAGCTATGGCCATAAGTGATTTTTTCCACTGACTTTGGTAAAAGCAGGGTTGCCAGTCTGAATTCAGTAATTTGCAGTAGCTGCTCTTTTCAGTAGGCTAAAAGGTAGATTCTGATATGGCTGACTTGTTATGAAGTGGTTACTATTTGTTAAAGGCATTTGAAAACCTTATAGGTAGGGTACTGCAGTATAACAAAGATATGGAAAGAATCTAGTGAATTTAATAGCAGTTCTAGGCTTTGGAAACTTTAGAAAAATGAAGTAACTTTAGTTATTTCATTTTGTGTAAATTTAGTACCTTGAGAAATACTGCAAGAAAAAATATATATGTAAGTAAAAATGCTGCTGTCATTACCATATTCTTAGGAAATTTATAGTAATTCTGTGATCAGAACGGTGTAATGCTACTATTAAAGAAAAGTGCAGAGAGTAATAATTAATTAATTGAAGGGTGAGGATTAAATATAGACCTCACTTTGTTACTGTTCAAAGGGGGATTATTTTGAAAGGAAAAGACCGACTTGGATTGGAGGAACAGTGCCAGTTAATGTAATTGGCTTAACATAATAGTGTGGACATTTCTGCATTACTAGGTATTTTGATTATTAAAATGTCAGCTTGTTGCATAATAGAAAATAAACAGCACTTGAGTTTTATTTATAGTTAAAATGGTAATTATTTAATTGAAAATAATGTGCAACTCACCTATCAAATGAAAATGGAAAGTATCGTTTAGCTGGATTTTTTTAAAAATATAATTAAAACACTGCTGAAAATGCAATATTTCATTTACTCTTGATTATTTTCATAGAAATCTTCAGCACAGCTAAGAATCAGTGCTTATTCTTGCTCACAAATACTGAAAACTTGGAAATAAACTTTATATTGTTTCAAGAAAAAATAATGTTTCTGTTTTTTTTATTTTTTTAATTACAGATTATGACAGTACCAAATGATCCCTATACTTTCCTCTCTTGTGGTGAGGATGGCACTGTAAGGTGGTTTGATACTCGGATCAAGACAAGTTGCACAAAAGAAGATTGCAAAGATGTAAGAATCACATGTTCTAATAGCAGTGACCAAAATGTGTGACCACATTCAGAATGTGAACACTAGCAATATCATGTAAGCTGTATTTTAGATTGTAAAGTCTCCTAATGAGCTGACTAAATCACATAGTAACAGAAGTTAGTTTTGGTGGTGCAGGTGTATCTGTGATGCATCTATGATGGTCTGGGAGATGTGGAAGTGGCAAGAATTTTTGTGGGTGATACCTTTTATTGGGCCAACTGCATGGTAGACTTAGATAAGCTTTCAAATGCGGTGCATTCTATCTCTGCAGCTTTTAAAGATATTATGGTGTATCAAACCTGATTCAGTTTACTTCAGGCTTGGTTGAAATATTCTGCCTCTAAACTCATCAATTTTGAGGGTATTACGATTTTTGTGGAGTATAGGGGTGGTGCTGAAAATTGAGTTTCTAATGGAAACTCTGCTGAGATCTTAAATTATTGATCAGTCTCTGTCTTACTGTAATAAGATAGAAAAAGGGTGGAGTAGTGAATATATAAGACCACCTTAATTGGAGGTCTAGCACCCTAGAAAGTGTTAATTTCGTCCATAGTGTTTTTGTTCCAGAACAAGATAAACTCATCTCAGAACATGTATTATGCACATTGTACCGTTTATTTCTCTCCCTCTTCTCGTTTGTATTCTTCACAGCATATCTTTTTAGGTTTTAGTTATTTTTGGTCCCTAAGCTTGTTACATTATTGTCACTATAAGAAATTCTACTATCCAATTATCTGTCCATAAATCAAATCTATTCTAAGCCTTTTAAATTAGCTTAGGTAGGTCCTGTCTGTTTTGTGGTTCTTGCTGTCCACCTCCTGGTCTGTCCTTCTTTACAAGAAAATTTGAATAGAACAGTTTGTATTTCTTCACTGTTAGAGCTCCCTACCTTCCGTTGTTGGGTTGAAGGTGATGTCATACTGTTTTGCACCCTGATCATTTTCATCCTCTGCTCTTCCCTTGTAGCATGTTCTTGCCATCTGTCTTTCCATGGCCAGATCTTGATTTTTGCAGCAATCTTGCAGACCCTTCTCTAGAAATTTTTGGGTAGAATTATACTTCACATGTTATGGGGATATTAAATGCCTTTTTTGTTGTTGTTTTATTCCAGGATATTTTAATAAACTGCCGGCGTGCTGCCACTTCTGTAGCCATCTGTCCGCCAATACCATATTACCTTGCTGTGGGCTGCTCTGATAGCTCAGTAAGAATATATGATCGGCGAATGCTTGGCACGAGAGCAACAGGTAGGAAACGCACATTAAATTAATAACCTTTTCTAACATTAGGTAGAGGTAGTTAGCTGTCCCTCCTCTCCCTCCCCTCCCCCCCACTTAACATTAAACCATTCAGGTTGCTGTCGTTTTTTTAAAAGCTGGCTTTTTTTATAGTTTTTCTGTATTATGTAAGCTTTCTTGCAATAATAAATCCTATGTTAGGGCACCAAGAAAGTAATTATTACATCCTGCAGGGAAAGGACTTGAAAGATTACTTGAAGTCTGCAAAGAAACTCTCCTCCTTGGGTAGCCAAAGAGCTTCTGAAGGTTTAGTGCAGCACCATGGAGTTTTAGTGTCTTTTAGCCTTATTTGGGAATGTGCAGCCACCTAATGATTTCAGCAGGCCACACTCCATCTTGATTTATGTAATTTCTACCTAGATCTATGAAGCTGCAGCATTGTATGTCTGCACTTGTAGATCCTGTGGTGCTCATACCTGTACTAAACTAGAAAGCTCGGTAAAGTACAGATAGGATGCAGCTGTTTCAGCCCAGCTTTGGATGTCTTTAATCCATTATTGTCTTTTACACAAAGGGATCTCATGAGTTCTGTAGAATCTTGTAGAAAGTATTTATTCTTCCAGTAGTTCTCATGACATACCACTTTTTGTCTAAAGTTATTACACAGTGTCTAAGGTAAGCTGGTAGATTAAATGATCTATTGTATTTACTACAATATAAAACAACCCTCCCTCTTCCCATTCAGCATGGGGAAAAAAGCCCCTTTTTTACATTTGCACATGAAGTGGAGGAGGGGAGCAGGTGGCTGCTGCAGTTCCAACTCTGGTCCATGAGCCTGGGTTGAAATGGTCAGACCCACAGCAGTCTCTTGCCTGCTCTCTACTTCCTCTCTGCAGCTTCTGTCTCCCTACCCACCCCCTTTCCTTCCCCTCACTGTCAGGCGCAGCTTGGCTCTGCTGGGGCTGGGGTTTCTTCTTGGGCAGGGAGCACATGGAAACATGTTCCCTTGCACAGCCAATCAGCAGTGCCAGCACTGCTGCATTGCCTGCCTGGCCAAACATTAGCACCAATACTGCTGCATGGTAAGGTGAGGGCTGGGCTTCCATGTGCTGTGGAGGAAGGGGCAGAGAGTGGGGGAAAGAAGGAGAAGGGATGGTAGGTGGGTGGGGATGGGCAGAGGCACTGGGGATAGGGAAGTGCAGAGGGGGCAGGAAGCCTGCAGGAGGGGAATAAGTGGGCAGGGTAGGAACCAAGGGGGCTTCCTGCCACTGCTTTCCCTGCTGTAGCGGTTTTGGGGGCGGGGTCAAGACAGCCCTCCAATGCTTAGATTCTGTACCTGGAAAACTGTAACATTTATAACTTTTCCCATATATAGAATATAATTGATTATTGGAGTTTATCTTATATTTGAGTGAATGGCAATTTACCACTTTTACTTTAGAACGTGGGAAGTGTATATATTCTGATGCAAGTGTCTGGGAACTAAGCGTTTTTACCATCAAGTGGCTAGCCAGCTAAGGCTAGCTTTTGGTTTATGAGTACTAGGAGAAGAAAGATATGCAGGCCTTATTGTTTGCTCTTCCTGCATTTATGGTAGTTTTATTAAATGGTACCATACCTTGTGCAAGTTTTGCATTCAGGCATGTAGATTTCAAATGCCACTAATCTTTGTCCTGATCGTGAAGCATCTACTGCTTCCTTTCTTCTTGACTGGAGGGTAACTTCTCCCTTGGGAAAACAAGGCCTTGCCTAGAAAAATAAAGTACACTAGGTTACATCTAACAGCTAGGGAAGGGGTGATTTTGCATATATGCAAGTATGAATTTATAGCAGAGCATGTAGCAGTATCTATAGCTAAATCTGGCAGAGTATTTCCATTTTAAAGCCTTTTTAACTTGCTCTTAAAATGATGAAACTTGAGATGTTGGGTGAAACATCATGGTCCTGGTCTTTGCCTGAAGGTAGTTGGTTTTGTTTTGGAATCTTGAGGAAAAAATAGTTGATAAAAGGAATAGAAAGGAAATACTTCTTCCTGTTGTTAAAAAGCAACACTTTCATGCATGACTGTGGCCAACTAGTTGGGCAGGAAAATTAGCCTTCAGAGCAAGGAACTGTCTTTTTAATCTGTAAAGCACTATGCAGTATAGCAAAAAATATTTTATTCAGTTATTTTTTTCTTAGTACTACTTAATGGCATTCAGTCATCCCAAATAAATGCCAGTGAAACCTGTGGTACACAATAGCATCATATATTAAGGTTACAGCTGTACAATCTGAAGAGAAACCAAAATTTTGTTTTGGTTTCAGGGAAATGTTATATATCTCTTTGCTTGCAAAGCCTTTTTTCTGTTTTGTTTCCAGCTCAGACCTATTGGGAAAGCTAAGTTTAGAAAAGAGAATACTTAACCTATCCAGTCTAATCATGAAAGATGAGCCCCTAGAATCACTAAATTATTGTGTGCAGAAAAATTAACATTGTCTCATTTAAAAGCAGAATTCCAGCCTACTTGGAGTGATATAAAAGATCAGTTTTAGCCTTAGGTGATGAGATAGTAAACATTGAACTTGCCATTGGTCAAAGACTGAATGTTACTCCTGGTTGGCCATTATAATTCTTGGGGGCAAATAGAAACAGTGTTTGTGAATGATGTGTGATTTTTTTCTGTTTTATTAAAGACTATTTAATTACTGGGTGAGATGACTTAGTCAAAGAAGCATGGTAATTTATGCAATTCTGTAATATCAAGGGGAAGGAGTGGTGAGTGTGCAGATGTACATCACTATGTCCATAAATGAGATGATCCAGATGCATTTAAATAATTGTTTCCATTGTTAACATTCTTTCTGTTGGTAACTTTTCCATTCCCATAATGTGTCATGCTCACGTGCGTGTGCGTTACTATATTCCTTTCTCTATTAAAGCACGCACAAGATAAAAGATCTGACTTCGCATTTGTTTATTTCATATTTAGCAAAATAAGGACACTACAAAATGTCCGGCACTTCCCTAGCTATAATTCAGACTTTGCTTGCTAAACAGTGCATTTGCTAATTGAAAATGTGTCAAAATAAGTTCATGTTCTTTTGCTTTTACTATTTAGGTAATTATGCTGGCCGGGGCACAGTTGGAATGGTTGCACGTTTTGTTCCTCCACACCTTAATAACAAATCCTGCAGGGTAACATCTTTATGCTACAGCGATGATGGTCAGGAGATCCTTGTTAGCTATTCTTCAGATTACATATACTTATTTGATCCCAAGGATGACACAGCAAGAGAACTTAAAGTTCCTTCTGCTGAAGAGAGAAGAGAAGAGGTGAGTATTCAGTAGGATGAACTGTTTATACCTGTTTCACTATTTTTACTTCATGTGCCTTGACAGCAGAGAAGAATTTGACCTATTATTTTCCAAGATCTAAGAAGTATGTTGGAAAATGTAGGTAATACTTTGGAGGTTTCTTTTCTGTGAGAGAACTTGCTAAGTTACTTTGTGCTTGATAGCTCAGATGGAAAATAGTCCACTTATTGTCCAAATCCTGTTTTACCACCTGGTGACTTTTCAGTAACTTATGGAAAATGAATTGAGGATTTCAGTGCAATTCCCACAGTTCATGTTGCAAAAAAGCACAATTAATACTAGCTAGCCACCTGTGTTGACATTTTCATCAAAAGTCAAAGTTAGAATGGACACAGAACTAGTCCCTCCATAGCAGAGTCAAGACACTTTAGATAGGAGGTGGTGCTTGCATAACTGGTGCATATTCCTCAAAAACCTGTCATTTTGGTACCTGTTACAAACTACAAATGTATACATACTTTTAGAAATGTCCTGGGCTATTGTCAGAGCCAGCCCTGGATTTTGGATACTGTACTTTACTTAAGGATTTGCAGTCCGTACCTAGGTTTCATTTCTACCTGTTGGTAGTTTGTAGTCATCACTATGGTTTCTGTAGGTTGTGCAGGCATAAGGTCACCAATGTCAGTGCTCCTCGATGTATACAATTCAACCTATAAGACCCAACAACATTTCAGAAAACTGAAGAAACTCCCTGTATACCCATAAAACCTGCCAGTGTTTAGGACTTCTGGGCAAACTTTTCAGGTCTCTAATTTCAGCGAAAATAGTTAAGCCTTATAGATGTATGGTTTTAAAAACATATTTTACCTGTGGCTCTGCCACTTGAGAGGAAAAAAAGAGGAGAAAAATAGTGTGGACTGTTTGGAGATACAGATACTGGCAGTGTTACTGAAATGGGAGTTATGTGGGAGAGCCCTGGAAACACAAGGCTGTGCACCATTGCATAGGTTGTGCAGACAAGACTGTCAATGTCAGTTCTCTGTGTGGATGGTTCAACTTGTATAGCTCAACAAAATCTTAGAGAACTGAAGCAATTCCCTTAATCCAAGGTTTTAAATAAAATACAAGTCTTACAAAAACAAGGTGCTTAAATGAAAATTCTTGAACTGCCTTGCTTTGTCACTATAGTTCTGTAATCTAGTCAGAGGAGAACATTTAACAAAAAAAGGTAAAGTGCAACAGATTTCTTTTTTTAATTAAAGAGCCTAGTTCTGTCAAATAGAACAGAACCTCCTGAATTAAGGGTTTTAATTGGCTACCAATACAGTCAAACATTGAAAAAAGGGAAGGCGAGCTTTAATATTGGGTTGAGGCCATGCTTGCCTGCATTTAAGTCTAGTAATTACACCTTAATTTATGTAACGGTATTCATGTTTGCTTGTCCTTTCTATTTTATCTTGCCCTGTAGTCAACTCTGGACATCCAGGGCAAATATGGGTATGAAGAGTTCCCCTGAATAGTTGTTCACCTGCTCGTTAATGTAGAAATTGTTTCCAGATGCCTTGGGCCTCACATGTTTAGGATTGGATTTGTAATAAATACTGTTTACAGTAAAATAGAACAAAAGACTTACATTTTATTTAATTAACAAATTACATTCTGGTTCCTCTGCGTGGTGTGAAGTTTGTTCCATGGTGCTGGAATTTTGAATAGTTTCCCATTAAGGCCAGTTGTCCTTACATGCAGCATTGGCAAAAGTTTTACTTTGCTGGGAATTGCTAAATGCTCTGGAACAGTTTGCTAATCTGAAATTCTACTCTAGGTTTAGAAGCAGCCATGTGTAATAACAGAATGTTTCTCTCAAGACAGAAATAGCAACAAGCAGGATCAACAGACATGTTTTTAGAAACTCATTGATATGTCTTTTCAAATAAGATTGTTTGAAGAACAAATATGACTTAGTTTTTTGTTTGCCATATACCTGAGACAAGAAAGAGAAATCATGTTTGTTTGTTATAATTTACAAGCTTTATGTACAACCTTATAATTATGAAATGTTCAAATATGTTTCTTTCATAAATTCAGCATTATGTATGTGGTAGGTTACAAAAACTTTCAAGTATTTTAATTTAGTAAGAACTTCTTGGATTAAAAAATTTTTCATTGTCAGTATTATATTAATAATCGGTGACCGTTTCTGTCCAGGGTTTTAAGAACACTCATTATTAATCAACATGTCTTAAAGGTGACTAATGGGCAATACATGCTACACACTCACCATTGCTGTATTGGGCAAAGCATTTTTCACAAATTATTGCACATAAGGCTACATTAAGAATTTAGGGAAAACATTTTTCATAAATACCATTATGTGGTTTATACAGTAACACTTGCTAATTTAGGGTAAATAATGAAGCTACTTAAGATTTTTAAACGCTGTTATTTCTAACTTTATCATATAGTTACAAAACTGAATTAGATTTATTCATCTAACGTTTTCTAAATTATTTTATACTATTTTATACAAAGATGCCAAATTGAAAGCCCTAGACATTCTATATTTATTCGCAATAATGGTTCAGCATAGCCAGATACCACTGCAGGTTCCCCAGGCTATTCTGCCAGTGTATCTTAACCCATAACAGAAGAGTCAACCTCAAGGCTCTAACAAGGGAGTTAAATTTTCCTGCCCTTTTAATTTACCATGTCTCTGACTGCCAACTGAAATGTAAAATAGACCTATTTGTAATGGTGGGTTATGATATTGGACACCATCACCAGCTTGGTTTGCACAGAATGCTGAAGAGTAACATATCATGAAAAATAAAGATCAACCTGCCCCTTCTTGGAGGGAAGGGAAAAATCTTTCTTCTAGACTTCTGCAAGAAGCGGCCTTATTCAGTCTTCCTCTCCTGAGAGGACCCCACCCCCCCACAGCCAGTCCCAGTGTGTCTTCACTACAGGCTCCATTTTTTTTTTGGTCAGCTCATGGGAAGGAGGGAATGTTTATTTCTTTTAAAGATGTCCCAAGAAGCACAGCAGACACTGCTTCAAAACAAACTGTCTTTATTTTGCCATTCCAATTCCCTCTGTCCTCCCTTGGACTTTCTCTTCCTGCCTGCCGTGGGACCTTCTGTTCCCCCCAGCTCTTTCAGAGCTTCGTTCACTCTTCTCGGGCTCAGTCAGTCCCACTTGCAACAATTGCAGAACTATAGTCTTAACCTGGGGACAGCACTCACCCAATACAATGAAACATTGCTATGGGGAACCAGTCAAGGGGTACGGTCTCTGGGTCTGCTGCCATCTGCCCCTGAGGTGAAAATGGCATAAAGAACTACTTACAAGCATTATTTACAGTAAAACCTACCGTTGCTGAGACCCCGCAAAGTGCAACCCACCAAAGCTGCAGACTAGAATCCATCTCACCTAGACAACTTCATCACATAGGCTAGGGACAGAAGTTACACATAAACCAGTATAAGTGACTGGAAACCAGTACAATCTGTAAGACAACAGAAGTTCAGTGCACATAAAATACTTTCAAAATAGCCAAAACTGGTTTAAGATAAAGCTGGATGGATGTAGTATCACACTTAAATGATTTAGATAAGTTGGTTTATTGAACTTCTTTCCCAGGTTCCCTCCAGATTAAAGTTAACTCACAGTCCCCCAGGATCCCTGGATGCTTTGCACTTCTCCTGCAAGCCCCCCCCAACCCTTGCACAGTGGGCAGGCTAGCCTTGGCCCAAGCTGTCTCCTCCAGCCAAGCAGGGAGGTGTGCTCAAGCATCCCCCACCTTCTGGCCTTGGGCACTGCGGGCATATGGTTGCATTTCTGGAATCAACAGTGAATGTCTGTTCACTTGCTTATAAGTTCAGTGCATGCAGCTTAAACTAACCTGCAAAGGTTGAATCAATTCAGCCTTGGGATTATTAGCTGCTTGTACTTAGCCGTAGCCTCTTTTAATTGCTTCTAACTTAGCTAAATTTGATCATCTGGCTTTCAATGGATAGTTAAAGAATAGTTTATTAGGCCTCTTTATTTTTTTGACAGACTTTTTAAAGACTTCAAATTCCTGGCAAGTAAAGGTTTTTTTCCTTGTTTTAAGCATTTTTCTTTAATAAAAGTACACAATTGTTTTTCTTTCTTTTAGAATAGGTTTTTTCTTTTCTTTTTTTTCCTTCAAAAAGACCCAGAAATTCACTGATGAAGATGCTGTCTGGGTCATCCTTCTCTATCTGCTTCAACCTCCATCTTGTTCAACAGATTACATGCACTGTGTGACTTGGTTTGGAAAAATTCGTATGTACAGCATGCCATCCTGCAAGATGCTGCTATATTGTTAATTTTTCTTGCTGTGTGAGATTCTTCTCCCAAAGCTGACTTAGTAGACAGCCATGTAGCAGCAGTTTATAGTAGAAAGCAGGGCAGATTTGCACCTTTATAAACTAACCGAAGTGCAGCTAGCTAGCTAGCACAAGGTCACTTCATCAGTAGGGAACTGCCCAAGTCATGATTGTGTGGATTTTGCAGAAATTGCAAATCAGGTGTTCTCCACAAAATCCTTGGGGGTTGGGCATGAACGTACTAAAAATTAATTGCTGGCTCCCCAGTGGAAGCCAGCAGTCTTCCTAGCTACGTAGCCTGTGGCGGTGGGAGGTTGCTGGCATGAAGGTGACCAGGCAAAATGGCTGTCACGCCCCTCACCCTGCCCCTTGCTGCTGATTGGCTGAGAGCTGCCTGTCGTGCGGCCCTGCCCCTCTCCACCAAGTGGGGGTGGGGTGGTCAGATGACAGACAGCCCTGTGTAAATCAGTGGTGGGGAGCGGAACCACCGGAGCTCGTTGGCCAGTCACAGGTGGGGGGGAGGCCTGGCCACGATAAACCCTCAAAAATGGCAGCCGGCCTCATGATCTGCCTGCAAAATCTGTCAGCTGCCTCTTTGAGTTGTCTAGACCCTTATTCATAGTGTTCCACATTCTCAGTTTTTACTGGATTTTCACTAATAAATTCCCTGATTTTTGTTTGGTTGGTTGGTTGGTTTTTTAAAGTAATTCGGTTTTCACTGTTTTACACCGTTTTTTCAGTTCAAATCCCTATCAACCAGCATGAGTGGGGAATGGTCCATTCCCCAGTCGTGCCGGTTAACAGGGATTTGAACTGAAAAATGGGTGGTGCTGGTAAGCTAAAAGTACCTCTGTGCTGGTTACCTGAGGCACAGGTTTCCAGCCGGACATGGCGGCAGTGGCATCTGCCACGTGCAGAGCAGGGGGCAAGGGTGTGGCGGTGGCTGTGCGGGGGCCAGCGGAGGGTGGATGGAGCCACTGCCTGGGGGTGTGGAGTTCCCATCTCTGACCCTGGGCGGCGCAGGCCAGACCAGGGGAATTGCTCCCGGGGCTGGTGGGTGGGCAGGTCCCACCTGCACCCTGGCGGCTTCACCCTGCTCCAAGCCCTGCCAGGTGGGGCATGCAGGAGAGCCCGCCCTGCTTCCTGTGGCAGGCGCTGCACCTGGCCACTCAGTACAGGCCCACGAGGCTGGAGCCGCTGCCTGGGGGCACAGGGCTCCTGGCTCTGACCCCGGTGGGGCAGATGGGCCACAGGAATCACTCCCGGGGCAGATGGGTCCCACCTGCACCCCGTGGCTCCAGCTGCGGCCCTGTGCCGGGCACTGGTAGTTGCAAGCCCTGACTCCTGCCCACGGAGGAGAGGGGGGCAGGCGGGAGAGCTCAGCCCCGCTCCCAGTGTCAGGGGGCTGCACCTAGGTGCTCAGCACCCACCTGTGGAGCTGGAGCCACTGCTCGAGGCCACAGGGCTCCCAGCTCTGATCCCAGGAGGCTCTGGGTTTCGGGTCAGGTCCTTCCCTACCCTCCCAGTGCTGCTGCCCGTCCTGAGTACTGGGAAGAGCCCGGTGCTGCCACTGGCCCAAGCATGCAGTGGCAGCAGGCTGCAGCAAGACCAGGCTGCCACCTGCCGTGAACGCCAGGAAGAGCTTGGGTCCAGCGGCAGCACCAGGCTCTTCCCTGTGCTTGGGGCAGGTAGCAACCTGCTCTCATCCTGTGCACTGATCCAGGGGCACGCACCCCCCATCTCCCCACCCTTGGGAAGAGCCCGGCACAGATCCTTAGCCCACAGCCCTCCTGGGGGGCGTATAGTAGCAAGAACCACACCCCTGCACCCACTGACAGCTCCCTATGCTTTGCTCCTTGCTACAGCTCTGGGAGTGGCCGACAGGCTGTGCTGTGCTCCTCCTGCCCCCTCCCTAGTCCCAGCCTTACTCTCTCTCTCCCTCCATCACTGCTGAATTCCCCGCCCCGATTTTAAACAGTTGCCCCTGTCGCCCTAACTCCAGTTACGCAATACAATATTATCTTTCCAAGTCTGCAGACGGTTGAAGCAATAGGTTTTTGCCATGAATTTTCCCCACCCCTTTCCTCTTTTTAAATTCAGACATTTAAGATAAGTGTTAGCACCACTCTTTCACTTTTGATTGTTTAGATAGAAATATCCAGCTAACTCCTAACTGACTTCCCTGGGTGCTTAAAGACCCAGATGCCTCTTACCAAACCACTAAGACTTACACTTCCCCAGGCATATAGTTAATGCAGAAATCTGTATCTAACTGGAAATCCCAAATGGAAGGTAAAATGCATTGCATTTAGTATTTTAAAATAATTGCAAGAGTTACTATGCTTACTAATTTCACATTTAATTAGAAATTCCAGTTAGAGTAAAAATGGAAGTTGCCTTAGAATTTCTAGTCTGGTACAATGGAAAGCTGCTGAATAGAGTTACCCTGCTTCAGAATGTAGGCCCAACTTCCTATGTAATATGCACACTTTGATAAATGTATTAAAGTTATGACTATGTAAATCATGGTAAAAAAAAAAATCTGTACACAAAGAACAAAGACTCAGTTGCACACAGAACATAGCCTGGAATTTTTGTACCTTTGTATGGCTAAAGTGAACCTTAATGTCTGAATATAGCATTGTGCTTAATGTATATGTTATGTATTTTTGGAAATATTTGGTTTTTTTGTGGTCAAATCGTGTTTTTCCTAGTAGTGTTATTTTATTTGTATACACAGGTTATCATTCAGTAATTACTTACATATATAAAAGAGAAGAATTGAGTAATAAGTTTTGTGTTTGCGTAATGTCCTTTCTTATCTTTATTATTCTAGTTGCGGCAGCCTCCTGTTAAACGACTGCGATTAAGAGGTGATTGGTCAGATACAGGACCGAGAGCAAGGCCTGAGAGTGAACGCGAAAGAGATGGTAATGTGTGGGAAGAGGAGGGTTGGGTTTCTTTTGTTAGTATTCCTGAAATGTACATATAGTTAAGATAAAAATTACCCTGAGTTTTTAAGAGTTGTCTAATTTTAGAATATTTTATTCATAGTTTGACACATTGAATTGACAGTGTATTGAATATAGTAATTTTGAGATCATTGTGTATGTTAAGGCCATTCTCACTGGTATTGTTTCAACCCTGTATTTACCCTAAAATGAGGGCTACAAATTGAGGCATATGTAAGTGGTACGCAAGTATTTGTTGTATTATATTAACGTAGCTTCATCTCTGAATTTTCATAATGTAGATCATGCCTTAAGTACTGGTAAGGGTACAAGAGGAAATACTTTTATAACGGTAAAATCAGGAGATACTGGGTCAAATCAGTAGGGTTTCTATATTGGTTCTGATACTGGCTCATGAATAACCACGATTAAGTTGTTTAAAACTAACTTGAATTCCTGCCCCTGTAAAGTATTACTCGGGGTTCACACAAGCATTATGTTTCTACTGGGAGAATCATTGGGCATTTATACATGTGCTCTGGGAGTTAATTTCTCTGATATTCTCTGCTTCAACTGCCATCCCTACTCCCTTTCTTTGTGTTTGTACAATACTTTTACCAATAATCCTAAAACCCATAAA